ATAAATTCATATATAAAACGCTCTGGATTATAAGGCGCACACTTGTTTGGGATTAAATTTAAAGGATTTTAAGTGCCCCCTATAGTGTGTAAAATACGGTACTCAAATCGTGATGAAACTTTCTTAATTCAAGTCTTCTTAACTTGACTAGATTTAGTTTTTTGCAGTGTGTGATGTGCAGATATCCATCGGAGGTGCAGACAACTTCACTGCGCTTTGTTGTGATAAGTTTCGGATTTTGTTTCTTTAATTACGTCGCTTTTAAATTGTCCAAATTCTAACCGGGTGTCAACAGATCATAACTACGACAAACACAAGCGCGGTGAGTCGTCTTTCAGAGCTAATTGCGTTAAAATGACCTTGTTGTGAGGAGCGCGGCGTCGGCGTACCTCGAGCCGCAGTCGGGGTCAGGCGCGGTGCCTCTGCTGCCTGTATTTACCCGAGCTCAGAATAATACAGGAGCCTCCAGTTTCCTCCACTTCAACATGAAACAGAAACGAAATACCCTCTGTTACTTATACAAGCCACAACACGTCACGTCGAGCTCACATCAGAGCGCTCGGCGTCTCTGGAGTCACCGAGGTTTTGTTTTTCTGTTTAAAAGATGCTGTGACTAAGTGTTCATTATGTTGGGAGTGTGGGCAATGTCACCGTGTCTGTGTCATTTTTGTCTTTTTCAGAAGTTTGCTCAGGTCACTTCAACTGGCCCATTATTACTCTGCAAAAAACAAAGTCTAGTCAAGTTAAGATGACTTGATTTAAGAAAGTTTGATCATGATATGAGTCAATTTTACTTGACAAGTAAAATAATCTGCCAATGGAACAAGAGTTTTTGTACTTAAAACATGAAAATACGTCTTGCTGCACTTAAAATAAGAAAAACAACTACTTTTTGCACTTAAAATTACAAACAAAATCAAATGTTGTTTGAATTAAGAAAAACACGCTCATTCCATTTGTTGATAATTTGACGTCAAGTTGAATCGACTCAAATAAAGTAAAATATTCTTAGTTTAAGTCATTTTAATTTACCTAGATATTGTTTTTTTCCAGTGTGCATTAAAGTGTTTTGCCAAATTGACTTTTTGCAGCTTTCTACACTGCAAAAACTGGAGGGTTAAAATTTCAGAGTTGTTTTTAACACAAAAAGTGTTATTTTGAACAATTTGAAAGTTAAATGGGGGTTCGATTTGGGATAATTTGCCACCAGAGTTGATATGTTTGAAGTTAATTCAACTTCCTCCAGTGTTAATTCAACTTCCCTTAGTGTTAATTCAACTTCTCTCTGTATTAATTCAACCTTCTTTAGTGTTAATTCAACTTCCCTTAGTGTTAATTTGGCTCCTCCCTCCCACCACTTCAAACTCCCGTGAGAGAAGACCAGTTTGAACCAGTTTTGTTCATAATTTCATCTTAAATTAACTCAAATAAAGTGTAAAAATAAAACACCCGTGTGTTGTTTAGCTAATTCAGGATAACTTTACAAAGTGTTATCTGTTTAATCTCAAAACATTAATATAACTCTTGATTTCGGGGTTAAACAGGAACTTTGGTCCAGTGTTACTTAAATAACATTTCCAAAAATGATATATTAACTCTAGAACAGATTGGACTCATATAAACCCTGAGAAAATGTTCAAATTGATTCTGTGAGAGTTAATTTTAACTCTCCACTTTTTGCTGTTTATCATGTTAGAACCTTGTTTCCTCATCAAAAACATGTGTGAAGAGGTTTTAGAGTCGTCCGTGTGTGTTTGACTCAAGCCGGACGAACACTGTGTGATATTTTTGATGGTTTCACTCGGCTCCAGCTCAAACTGTTCGACCAAATCTCAGAGTTTAAAAGTTTACAGCTCACGATTCGTGTTCTCAGGTTTGATTTTCTTGCGACCTACGATTGCCGATCGGGAGCTGGTTGTGAGGTATTAATCAGTTCTCATTAACCCAGGTTTACAACACGAAGCAAGACACATGATTAAGACAAAACTTGATCCCAAAAACAGTCACACAAGTGAAAAATCTGCTCAAAAATGGTCAAAAATCACACAGTGTTCACCCGACTTTACCGATCTCTCCTGGGCCCAATCGAACATCACTTGTAGCTCGGCTTGATGGTGTCACCTTCTTATCTCCATATACATTTAATGCTATACTGTGGAACATTCCTTTCAAAGTAATAGCATCTCCATGGTAACAGGCAGCTGGCAAACCCTCTTCCAGAAAATGTACATAGTGTCTGTTACTGTCACTTTTCTGGTAGAGGGTCTGCTATTTGCTTTCTATAGCTTTAAAGCAAATGTTCCACAGTACGGCGCCAACCTTTTCTCCATGGAAACCAGAGGGCGATGCCACAGGGCGAAAGTATTACAGGTTTTCTGATGACACTGAAGCATTCTGCAGACCAATCCGCTCTTTTCACGCTGACGTCACAAACCAGGAAAACGTTTGGAAACATGATCTCTTGGGTTCTAGTCACTAATCGAAAGAATTAGGTTTTATATTTATGAGTTTAGATATTTCTGGGAGTATGACATCACCACTTTCTAGATTCTGAAAAACACCAAAAGGTTTAGACTTGAGATTTTATATTTTAGTACTTATTATTTCTCTTTTATTTTGACTTGTACATTTACATTTATATAATTTTGCCTTATTTGACACGCGTCTCTTGCTATATTTTTGCTACTTATTTTGAATTTTTTATTACCATTTATACCTTTTTACTCTTTGTTATTATATTTATTACATTTATTGTGATGTGTGAGCTCCTGTGTCCAAATAATTTCCCTTGTGGATCAATAAATGTTGTAAAAATCTAATGTCTAAGGTCAGATCGATCACAAGAAAGCGTCATTTTTAAGATATTTCTGAACACCTGTAATTGAATAAATGCAATATACTAGAACTAGAACATATGGTAAAGCATTACTGTGGAGTATTTTAAGTAAAGCAATCACCATTTTTCATCAGAGTTACACAGTGCCCCTTTAAAACAGACATTTGCGTTGTTTGCGTAAGCCACATTTACGCACTTTTTTATTCCTAAGCTTTGGAGAGCAGAGTAAACTTCTTCCCAGCACTGAGAGAGAGAAAACGCATTAGGGTCAATAGTGCCCCCTCCCTCCTCCCTCCCTCCTCCCTCCTCCCTCTTCTTCTCTCTCTCTCTCTCTCTCCAGCTGCTTGAGCAACAGCAGTGCGTGTGCGCTATGAGTGGAATCCAGTATTGAATGCTTTGTATTTCTTTCGTTTCCCAGGGTGCTTGAATACCTGGAATAGCGACCCAAACGTGAGAAAAATACAGAAAACCATTCCCCAGAACCGTTCTCTATCACCCCAACGTCTTGACTGTATAAAAAAGTGGAATATTTTGGCTTTTGAGTGATTAATGTTGGTTATTTTTCGGTTTTGTTATTAATTTCTTGTAAAAAAAAAAAAAAAAAAAAACATGATTTGGTTTGCTTTGCGTTTTGTTTATGGGTGAGTAGTAGCACTTGTCCTGGTTTGGGGATGGTTTGAGACCAGTTTAGTCCTGGTGTTGACTTGTTTTGGCCCTCTGCTAGTCCTGGTCCAGTCCAGAGTTCAATTCGTGGCCTATTTCCATTTTAGACCCAAATGCGCAACCGCACCCAAATGAGTGTTTAGCCCTCAGCCAGTAAACAAACAAACAAATAAATGACCTGAAATTAAAATGCTAAAAATAGTAACTTGGTCTGAATCCTTGGGTGGGTTCATTGGGGTCTTTCCAGCTTTCCTCTCCGCTTGACCTCCGTGCGTAAAAAGGCGCGCGTTTGTTTGGAGTGATTGGGTTGTTGTGCGCGCGCGCTGTGGCCCCCTTTTAAACTCCGTTGCCGGATAAGTACGCGTAGGAGTGGGGCCCCCTTCTCCCAGCTGCCCGCGCGGCCGCCTACCCCCTCTCCAAGCCCCCTCACACGCCGTAGCCTAACACACAATCAATGCTCCACTTATGGCTTCCAGATGATCCGATAAACCCCGCGCTGGCAGTTTATGAATTGGTACACGACTTTTCGCAATCGATCGTGCCAACTGGTGGCTGTAGCGCCGCGCTAACTGTACAGTCCATACACAGAAACTCCCATAAGTCAACTCAACAAGTGCGACGTGCAATTTAGCGCATTGACTGCAGACGCGCGCAGTGTCATATGCGTAAAAATCGTTCCAAAATCGTTCCAAAATGTCTAAGTAATCCCGGGGAAGCGACAGTGTAGGGTAATATCTGGGAAACTATGAGCGCTTTGTCAATAAAGGGGTTAATAGAGTAGTCTGTGTGCTACGAGTTGCTTAACACAGTGGAGCTACCGAGGGCCGTGTTTAAACAAGCCATAAAAATGAGTTATGACCGAACGCGCACTCGCACTCACGTTTTTTTTAAAGGGCTACAAAATCAGGGGGTAGTCCCGTATGAAAATGTAAGTGGGGTTTTTATTTGTGCGCATTACGACACAATTGCTCTCCTTAATGTCCGTCTCGTTCATGCCACGCGGTGATTTATGGGCTCCCGAAGGCGAACGCGGCGCGCTTTAAACCCGATGTCTGCAGCCCACACACTCCGCGACGCGAGAGTGAAATTACTGTGCACTTTAAAAAAAAAAAAAAAAAAAAAAGCGAGGAAAAAAAATCGTCAAAAAATTTCAAAACATACCCACGTTAAATTTGCGTGTTTGCATCAAAAATATTAAACCACATTTTTTTTAAATTCCAAATATTTTTTTTGTACCAATACTATTATAATTGATCAAAAAATAAAGATTAAAATTAAGTTAAAATGTGAGAAAATACAATTCACCGTGCGTAAAACGCCGTGCGTAAAAGTCAATTAGCGTTTGTAGTTTTCTAATTATATTCAAAACCAACCTGTTGTTTAATTTGCATATTGACCTAATTATTTTCTGTATTTCCATGCATAATTAATTATTTAGAAAATAACTACAAGGACGACAGGGTTTGTATCAAGTTAAATGTATTCTAACAAAAATATCCAAGAAGCTATACAAAAATAAAAAGGAGCAGGTTTCCATTAGTCTATGAATATTGCATCCTTAGTTCACACACACACACACACACACACTTCATTTCATTCCAGGGTCTGTTGTGGTAATTACAACTACTTCAGAGATTCGGAATCGAGCCTTACCTTGTCAAATATCAACAAAATTAATGTGCCCAATTTACAAACAATTATAAAAATTCGTGTCCACGGGAGAGACAAAACGCGTGCAGTTGGGGTTAATAGTTCAGATGCTGTAGGTCGATTGTAGTCAGCGACTCCGTGAAAAAGTAGAAAGTGTCCGTGGATAGGTCCCCGGGGCTGTCCAGAGACTCGGACAGGCTCGGCGAGGCTGCGTCGGACAGCTGCAGGCAGGAATCCGCGGAGAAAGCCTGGAAGTCGTGCAGGGAGACGTCCAAAGCCGGGGGACTGCACTCGCCATTGTCCGGGGCTCCAGATGCCGAGCCGGGCCCCATTGTTGACAAGCACCCCGGCGTAGAATTGGGAAAATGTTTGAGATTTTTGTCATTGCAGTTCAGCGGCGCGGCTGTAAACGCCATTTCGCTGCTGTTGTTGTTGTTATTGTTGTGCGTTTGAAAAGTCTCGTAAAGGGATCCTTCCTCGTCGTCTTCGCTCTGCAGTGACTCCTCGCCCGCCCCTCGGCCTTTCCCGTCCCCGCCGTGGCTGTCCTTGGTCTGGGTCTGCCTCTTGTGCTTCATGCGCCTGTTCTGGAACCACACTTTGACCTGGCGCTCGGTCAGGTCCAGCAGGGCCGCGATCTCCACGCGTCGCGGCCGGCACAGGTACTTGTTGAAGTGGAACTCCTTCTCCAGCTCGAGTAGCTGCGTGTTTGTGTACGCGGTCCTCAGCCTCCGCGAACCCCCTCCTCCTCCTGCCGCCGCTGCTGCTGCTACTCCTCCGGCAGAGAGACCTCCAGCTCCGCCGCTCCCGAGCCCCGCTCCCACGCCGCTTTCCGCGATCTCGGGCGAGCCTGGACACAAGCATCACGTTTAGAAAAACAGCGAGGAAGCAGCGCGCTAGGCTCTCGTAGCTGTGGAGCAAAATGGCCGCTGCCTTTGACGCGTAGCACTGGCTTCTTCCCTTTGCCTATAAAGCTGATCCTTATCACGCTTTAAATATACCCAAATGCGCCACGACGCACGGATGAAGTTAACATTAAAATACAGCTAACCACATTTTACATATCTTGCAAATAAATAAAAATAAATCACAAATAAAACTGAATTAGTGTGGCCTAAATCAAATTGCAAGCGACCCCCAGCGCAGTGCAGAGCAGAGGAGTGTTTTGGAGATAAATACACCTTAAAATAGCTGTCTCAAATCTTGAAAAAATACAAATAAAACGCGCAGCTTAACAGAGTATAGAGAGGTGAGCTTGGCCCCTTGTGTGGGACACTAAATGAATGCTCGGGCTGGCTTCCTCGGCAACCATCAGTCTTCATTACTGTCACGCATCAAAAGTCGTCCACGGCGCGCTTTGGGGGGAATAAATCACCACGTAGCAGCCACACTTTATGTATTTACATGCTCATTGTGCCATACAGAAAGATTTGGGTTATCTGGAGTGCGCCTTGGATGCAAAACACTGAATTAAACACTTGATTTTTAAACATATATTCTAATGACTGGATCTTATAACGGGTCCAGATCTATGGATGAGCTGTGGCTGAGCTTGGCACGAGCACAATGTCGATATCTATTATATTATTAGGAGTACAAATGCGTGATTACGCGTTGTGCAAGTCCCTACTGAGCAGCTTCGTGTGTAAACTTAATAAAATCCTAAAAACTGACCCTAACTTTGCTGCTCTCTGCTCCTCAGGCCTGCTGGTGGAGGACTCACCTTTCGGGGAGAAGCACACGGCCCCGCTGGAGATGGCACTGGCGCTGGACAGGTGGTTCCTCTTGGACGCCTTCTTCTCGCGCATCCACGGGTACTCCGGGGGCAGCGAGGCGGTGGGCAGCGGACTGCACCCATCGGGACTGTGCCTGGGCCGGCCGTGGCGCGGATGGCTGCCCGGGTTCAAGCTGGGGATGGTCTGCTCGAAGGGAGGAGGCAGCAGCGTCGGCCGTGAAAGCGTCGAGCCCTTGATTGATGAAGTTTGGAATGAATCAGCGACAGGGGGGAAAGATGTCAGGCACTCAGCAAGCGACGGCTGACTATTGATAAAACCGCTCTCTCGCTCGAATTCGTAATTCATCTCCGCCCGCTCAGAGCCGAGGAAAGTTTGCCACGCGTGATTTTACCAACTCTACCGAATCGACGAGGAAGAAAAGCACATACAAACATACTCCCCCGTGCACGCGTAGACTTTTTTCACAGTGGGGACCATGCAGGCTCCGGTTAAACTATTGACTTCATGGAGGTTGAAATTGAGCCGCTGTCACATGATTACTTCTGCCCAATGACAACTTAGGGTTTTATCAAAAGACTGTCCTGCGTGATTGATCCGAGAGGAGAGCGAAGGAAGAAAAACTCTGGCGCGCCCGGAGTGGACACGTCTCATTTATTGACATGTCCCCCCCGTGTCCTCTCCGCTCGCGTCCACTCCACTACGCTCAAATATTTAAGAATGGCTGTCGATGATGATTCCGGGGAAGTGGTGCTTGGCTGGCTCGGGAGAGGGTGCATGCGCGCGCGGGTTCGTCCTCCTTTCTCGTATTGTTTGTCAGTCGTGAACGCCCCCCCCCTCTCCTCTCCCCTCTCCTCCCACACACACACACACACACACACACACACACACTCACACACACTCACACTCACACTCACACTCACACTCACTCACACCACCCACATTTTCACACCGCCGAGGCAGAAAACACGGGGTGATGTGGAGATCCGCGGACAGCTCCTTTGCAAAAACCGTAGACTCCCATAAACGTCACCCCCTTAAACGCGGAATAGTGACACACGCGCGCTGCCCCAGCCTCGCAGCTCCGCGTGGCAATAAAAAACAACTATCCATAACTTTAATATTGACTGATACGACACATTCGAGGCTATAAACGCGCTTTAAGACCCGAGCCGGGCGCGTTAAGACCCGTTCACTGTCCATATCTCCCCGCTGTAGTCTTCCAAATTGATATTTAAAGACATATTGCGGAGTGCATTTTCGTTTGTACTCGAAATGACGTATGACCGGGGCCTATCCTCTTCTGGCGGTAACCGGGAGGCATTTTTCACGCGTTTATGAGTTTTAAAATATCAAAACACCGAACAATTCCAGTATCTTATCATTAAATTACATCGCTTTTCGTTGATGCGGGTTTATCTGCGCCACGTGGTTGCGTTTATGACACAATACCGTGGCGTGAAGGGGGGGTGCGAAACAATAACGCATTACAACGCTGCATATTCATTTTTATATCGTAAAGGCCAAAGCAAACAGAGCTTATGAGTTATTATTAAAGGATTGTAACGGGATTGTGGCGGTTTTTTTTTTTTTTTTTTTTTTTTTGCTTTCGTTCGTTAACTCCTTCCATCCAAAAGACATCCCTTAATCCCTAATTACGCATCAATCCATACGTAGATTACGCCGTGTTTACATATGGCTACATGAAATAATTGACCCAAATTAAATGGTGTTGTTGTAAGGGACCAACGCATGGAAACGCGTTATTGAATTGCCCCCCAAATCACCACTATCTGTTTCCAGCGCGTTACTAATCGCCAAATATAATCACGCAATTTACCATCGTTGGGATTGTTCAATGTCATATCGAAGTGTGACTTTTGGAAATACGATGCGTGGTATAAGAACACGTTCATATTTTTGGTAAATGATCAGTCTGGTGCGTATCTTCCAGTATGAATGAAGGCTTTGTTAACGAAGGGAGGTACAGAGAAGGCCTTTGTCGCACGTGGTCACGCATGAAAATTCATAATTCGAGTTTTAAATGCGTAAAAACGAGTGTAAACAGTGATGGTGCTTGGTTTTATCCCAACAAAATGCAAGTAAAATTGGTGCAGGCCTATACATGGAGGTTTAAGGGCGAATGTGGACAAATATCGTGCGTAAAAATGCGTAAAAGGATCAGCTGATGTGGGGTTATCACGGAGCAAAGCGCTATTACGTTCACACTGGTCGTTTTCCAAAAAGCATTCCTATATGTGTTTATGGTAATGGCTTTCAGTGGCTTCTCCCAGCTATGTTTACTCGTGCTCCCTCCACGAAATCCGCACATGACAAGAACAGCTAGATCCATGTAACGTTCACACTCCAAAAAAAAAGAAAAAAGAAAAAGTAGGAAATCTGTGACTGCTCGAATAAAACAGAAGGAAAACAGTGAGGGGAAAAAACGCCTTCTTCGCCTCTCATTTTTTGCTTATATACCAAACAAAGAGTCCTGGAAGCCTGCGCGCGATCAATCTTACTCGCCAAAAGGTCTGACAGCTCGGGTGCCCTCACAGCACATTTAAGGCTTCTAACTCTCCCCCGGATCAAATGCAGCCAGGAAGCGGCGAGAAACACTGGCCACTCAGATTAGGAACCATTTTTACGCGCGCTGGTGTAGCCTTTCTGTCGCTTAAAGGGATGTTTTAGCAGACAAATATGACTTCCTCTGGTTGCTGAGAGGAGCTGGATGGAGCGGGCCCAGCGGTGAGCTTGTAAAAAGCGTGGACGCGCCTGTGTACCTGGTCTCCATCTGCGTTTGGGATGTGGATGCTATTGCGTAATTTTGTTTTTTTCGTCAAGATTTCGAACGCGAAGATGGATGGGTTGTTTTGGCTCTTTCCCTGTGCCTTTTTCTCGTTCTCTTTTGTGCGTGAGGCGAACGAGTGGGTGGCTGTTTTCTAAAGAACCGGTGCCCTGACTGTTTTTTGATTTAAGAGCAGCTTCCTATGCGGATTAGCGAAAAATACAAAATCTCGCAAAACGTTATTTATGTGTTACCTGTGCGTAAAGCATATGGTTCGGATGAGGGGCAGACCGCGTGTGTGTTGGAGACTGGAATACTCTGACACACCACGGTTCAATTGTTCGAGGGTTCCCCTGCTAGCCATATGTCAAGGCCGTAATGCTCGCGCCCCGCTGTATCAATCATAATCTGCTCCAGCTGACTGCGAGATGGCACCACAAAACATTTTCAGACATTTTCAATTATTTTCATTATTAGACAGATGTTTGACGTTTGGATTATTTTAAAGCATTTCACAGGAGTTATGCTTTAAAATTAAACGAATACATGTAGGGTTTGGGGGAAATGTTTTTGGAGGAAACCTGTGAGTAATTTGTGCGTAAAATCGTGAATCTTTTTCTTCCGTAAATCTCCAAAACCAGATGGACTCCCCTCTTGTATCCGGGGCACTTCCCTCTTGACATCCCCCTGCAAATATGAAAAATTGAGGGCCAAATGAACCCGCTTTGAGGCCGTGTATCCCTCGCATCCGCGTGACTGACGGAACACATGAGCGAATTATTCCTCAAACGGCTCCTCATTTGGCTTCTCGTTGTCTCGCGCTCTTGCAGCCTCCGCGCGCTCAGCTCCACGGTGACATTTTTATTATTATGGATGTGCCCACGCACGCGACACGGGGCGAAGAGAAGGCCACCCGAGTAGGAGTCTCTCTTTTTTTTTCCCACGAAGTAGTAGTAGTTTTATCCAACGTGAAGGGACGCCGTTGTGCGTAATTTATTGCAATCGTTTTTGTTTTGTTTTTTATTTCAATTCGTGTTGATTCTAAAATGAAAACTGCATTACTACGTGTCTGTAATGCTTCCTTCACGTGCACAAACTTAAAAATATTAATTCAAAGCGAAGTGTGTCAAATATATTTCAAATGTTGACTTTATTTCTTCAAATTAGAGCAGCATGGAATGTAATACATCGAAAAATAAACTGCAGAAATGAATGATGCGTCTTCTTCAATAAAGGAAAAACCAAAAAAAATGCTCTTGTGTGTCCTTCTTTCACCGCTCTGGCATGGTTGATTGGTATTACATTACAAAGAAAAGCACCTCCTCGAAGAAATGCAGTGGTGTGGACGAGGCGAGATAATACCTACGGTCAAATCATAACAAGGACAAAATAATAATAAATAAGCTCAGAACGTCCACGAGTGAAGGAAGAGTGTCTGTCAAAGGGAACCCTCATAATACCAACTCAAGTGCAACAAAAACACAATTCTTCAATTGCGGATAAATAAAAATAGGACATTTTCACATTAAAAGAATAACACATGTTCATAATACCCTGTTTGTTGAAAGATTGAAAATAAAAAGATTAAATATATGGGCCCCCCTCCCCTCCCTGTCCCGAAACCTAGTCTACACCTAACCGCCCAGTCACTACCTACAGCCCAGCGCCCTGACAATGGCCAACAAACAGACCCAATTCAAGCATGTGCTGATTATTTTTTCCTAGCGCTACTTCACACATGAAACTATGGCGACAGAAACAAAAGGTGGAAGCCTAGAAGAACAAGGAGGACTGAGGAGGCGTATGGAAACAAAGCGGCGGTGATGCGTCTGGAGGTGGCGGATAGAGACAATGGGGCGGAGTGATCTGAGGCAGGGGGAGTAGAGTGAGCAGGCTGCGCCATGTTCGCTACAGATGCGTCAGTTTGGGCGCTTCCTGGATTCTTCCCTGAGAGTAGTGCGGCGTTAGGTCTGTGTACGTGGGCGCGGGCTCGCACACGCCATGGTGCTGCCCGCCGCCCATGCTGATTGCTCCGTTATAGTCCATGTTCGGCGGGTGAGGCAGGTGGCTCAGGCCGAAAACGGATGTCCCAGAGTTGGGCATAGAATCCATGTATCCTCCGTACACGGGGCTGCCCTGCATGTGCGTCCCGTAGGTACCGTTGCCTTGGAGCGCGTCGTACTCGGGCGTGGCTGAGTCGGTGCCCGGGTAGCGCTTTTGGGGCTGAGAGGGGGGGCAGTTGTTCAGAGGAGGGGGGTATGACGTGGCCATGGCGTATGCGTTCTGGTGAGGTTTGTTGTAGGACGGTGGCGATTGGGACTCGTAAGGAACACTGTTTACTAAAGAATGCATAGAGCTGAGGTACCCACCGCCTCCTCCGTTCCCCGCGCCCGGAGCGCCCACCGGGCTCCGCGGGGACTGCGCCCCTGGAGAGGGCATCATGCCCACGCCCTTCTGGTCCTTCTTGTATTTCATCCTGCGGTTCTGGAACCAGATTTTGATCTGTCTCTCGGTCAGGTTGAGCAGGTTGGCCATCTCCACGCGCCGCGGCCTGCACAGGTAGCGGTTAAAGTGGAACTCCTTCTCCAGCTCCACCAGCTGCGCGCTCGTGTACGCGGTCCGGGCCCGTTTGGAGGCGGCCGACCCCGGCGGGCTCTTGTCTCCGGGACATGTCTCCACTGCAAAGAGACAGAGCGGGGTCAGTGTGGGACTAAAATAAATCTTTAAATGTATTTATTTTAATACTGATCATGGTGGGTCATCACCATTCTGTTTTAAACTCCATGAGCTCAACATGTAAACAACCAATCAGAGAACAGAACAGAACATGCCTCTAACCTGAGTCTGAGCTCGTGCACTTAGAGCCTGGAGAGGACTGGCACGGAGCAGGTTTGATCACAATCATTCAAAGGAAATCCTGAAAACTGAGCTTTTAAAATTCCTGACCACACATCGGAATTTCCTCCAGTCCCTTAAACAATGTACAATGTTGTATCTGTGAAATGAGGATTGGTAAATGTAAAAGACAGCTGACCGAGTGTGTTGCCCAGAGACACGACTGACCGAACGCTCAGGGCCATGTTTGAACTGGAGACCCTCCTGTCAGAGGGTAAGTACTTACCCACAATGCCACTGTCAGACCAATCCCAAGCAATCCCATAGAGTTTAGTATTTCAAGTAAAATCCAGAGCCAAACACAATGAAGCAGTGCTTTTCATTCAGCAGCTCCGGAGTTTTATTTTGAAACTGTCCAAAATGAGAAAACGCTTGGAGCTCTTTTCTGTCATCAGAGCGAGGCGTGTTTTGACATCTCAACTCCGCTCACGTCTCTCTCATTACCAGGTAACCCAGCCTGCTGTGGTCCAATTTCAGACTTGTCACTCAAATTCTCTAAATTCTAACGTAAAAATTGTTATATTTTTGTGTATCTTGACCATGAAACCCGTGCGATCAGTCCGCACACATCAGAGCGGCTCAAAGTGAACATGACGCCTGATTTCACTCAACTGTTAACAGCTTTTCATTTCACATTTTACTAATAATCTCACCTCGTTTTCTCTAGTTTTTCATTTTTGTGAAGTTTATAATCTCACTTTCTGGTTGGACACGGGCAGCAGATGTGACACTGGGGTGATCCAATAACTTTTACCTAGCAACCATAATGTAAACAAGACCTTAAATGACACAATAGTTTTGATTATGAAATAGTCTCTGCATTTTGGATGAAGTTTTCAGTCGTGTTGGCGTATCTAGATGTATTCTGATGGAGAATTTACAGCTACTTCTGAATTTTTGTACTTTTCTTTCCACAATCTGTCACTTAACCGATGTAAAACTGTGATAAATATTTACATTTTTATCCACCGAACCAAGTCATATTTAGAAAAACAAAACAAAAGAACCCGTCATATTCACTTTGAGGCTGCCCCTGATCGATGTTTGGAGCGGTTCTCTGTGCGGTCAGTACGTGATGTCCGGTACAGTGACCTCTGTGTGGAAGTGCAGAGTCCAGCGTTCTGCCTTCGCGAGGAGAGGAGAGGGAGGGCATCAGGGCTTTACGCGAGAACACGCTCAATAATGGAAAGAGCCGGTTCCAAAAAATTGCCAAGTGCGTTTGTTTTTTGTCTTTGGGTGAACAGGTGGAGGCAGAGCAGCCAAATATTTGACTCGAGTAAGAGTATCGTAACTTCAGAATAATATCACTAAGTAGAAGTACAAAGTGGTGGTTAAAGAAATGACTCAAGTAAAAGTAAAAAGATATTTAGGGAAACAACAGCTCAAGTAAGAATGATTAAAAGAGTGATATATTTGTGATTTGAAGCTAATGTAACTGGAAGGACGAAACAAGTTCTGCTGTTTTCAAAGGATAAACACAAAAATTTGATGAAAAAGAAGCTCAAATGTTCAGATTATTTCATATGTCCACAGAAAAGCTTTTGTCATTTTAGATTTACTTTTAAATCGAGACTAGTCTGATTCATTGGCCGGTTTCACTTGGTGGAAACCGTGTGACCTCGCAGCATTAGGACTCGTTCGCTCGACAGTAGGCGGGGCCTTTTTTTTATTTAACCAATCGCTGCTGTTTGGTCGTGACGTATGTAATGCGCCGAATCCTGTAGGAAGAAGGACAATAACGTCTTTTCCCTTTGATAAAATTCACCAAACATTCTCTTTGTTCCGGCTTTAAATCCTCGATCTCGGGAATCGTCGCCAACACAGAATGTCTGTCTTCGTCTACATCCATCTCGACGCTTTGTTTACTGTTGTGTTGTTCCACAAAAGGGACACAGACGCCACGACGAGTTTGACGTCATGACTTCACAGCTCACAGCTGATTGGTCGGTGCGCCGTCTACAACTTCTGGAGTTTTTGCAGAACGTCTAGTGTATTCTGATTCCTGACCTACCAGCCTGACTACAAAGAGACATGCACATTCGACAAAAACTGTGACTGTGTGCTGGGCCCAAAGACAAAAACTGTGCAAAAGAAAAAAGAGAAATTTGGGAGCTGCAGTTCTCGGAAGCTCCCAGATGTTTTGCAATGTCTGAAGAAGAGCTTGACCCGAAACGTCACAGTGATGTTATTGAAATAAAGAGCTGGGAACTTCGAAGAACTGTAGTGTGGATCTCTTTAGACTTACTCACGGGAACCACAGCTTTTACTCAAGTAAGAGTACTGTTACTTCATTATAAATATTACTCAGGTAGGAAACTGTGCACTACAAAAAACAAAATCTAGTCAAGGTCTGTCAGGTCTAAACCAGGACTAAACTAAGACTAAACCAGGACTAAACTAAGACTAAACCAGGACTAAACTACTAAACCAGGACTAAACCAGGACTAAACTAAGACTAAACCAGACTAAACTAAGACTAAACAGGACTACATCAGGTCTAAACAGGACTAAACTAAGACTAAACCAGGACTAAACTAAGACTAAACCAGGACTACATCAGGTCTAAACCAGGACTAAACTAAGACTAAACCAGGACTACATCAGGTCTAAACCAGGACTAAACTAAGACTAAACCAGGACTAAACTAAGACTAAACCAGGACTACATCAGGTCTAAACCAGGACTAAACTAAGACTAAACCAGGACTAACTAAGACTAAACCAGGACTAAACTAAGACTAAACCAGGACTACATCAGGTCTAAACCAGGACTAAACTAAGACTAAACCAGAACTATATGAAGTCTAATTTAAACCAGGACTAAGACTAAACCAGGACTACATCAGGCATAAACCAGAACTAGACTAAGACTAAACCAGGACTAAACCAGGACTAAACTAAGACTAAACCAGGACTTCTGTACAAGATAAATAACCTGATTTAAGTTTTAAAATCTTTTCCAGAGAAATTCGCAGCGAACTTTATTTAAATTGACCGTACAGGCTCGCCTCTCCGCAGACCCGACCATGACCCCGTCTCCTCTGCGCGAAAGTTCCACAGTGCTTCTTTAAACCGAACCCTAAACGATTTCTCCTTTGAGTTTTTAAAAGCCCCTGGATCGTGTCTCTCCGAGGGCTCCGGCTGCTCCGGCTCCGGCAGCGTTCCAAACTCCCGGCAGCTCATCCGTCTCACCTGTCACCAGAGGAATGCCGCCGCGTGACATCAGGCCGGCGTTTGGAAAAAAAGGCGTTTGGAGCGGGGTGGGCGGGGCCTGGCTCGTACGGTCTCGTCATCGGCGCGGCGTTTTTTCGCGGAGAGCGGGGCAGGTCTGCTCATGCTCCGCCGTCCGTTTGGGAGACATAAAAACAGTGTTATTGTAGAGTTATGGTGAACGCAAATGTGTCGGGGAGGAGGAGGAATGACAGGTTACGAGCAGCTGCTGAAGGATGGGACCACCGAACGATCCGGTCCTGCTCCATCGAGACGGAATTAACAGTTTTATGACGGGAAGGTTCCATAATAAAGCATTAAACATAAGCTGTCACTACTTCAGGGCTCATAGAGACGGATACAGTATGTAAATGTCTTTAGGCCAAGTGAAGTCAGAGCTTTTACGGTTTTCTCAACACGTAAAGGTCCAGTACAAAACTTTTCTGAAATGGTCCACCACCTGCTTTCTCCATGGAGATGTGATTCACTATTTTATGACTGGAATGTTCCGTAATACGGCATTAAACATAAGAAAACAAGGTTCTTGAACATCGATACCTTGATGTTTTTAGGCCAAGCTGAATCTGATTTTTTATACTTGGCTCCACACATTAAAGCTCAGATACGGAACTTTTCTGAGATGGCCCGCCACCTGGTTGCTCCATGGAGACTGAATTAATTATTTCATGGCTGGAATGTTCCATAATAAAGCATTAAACATAAGAAGACAAGGTTCTTGGGATCGATATGTTGATGTATTTAGACCAAGTTAAGTCAGATCTTTTATGCTTTTCTCAACGTGTAAAGGTCCAGTACGGAACTTTTTTGAGATTGTTCACCATCTGGATGCTTCATGGAGATTGGATTCACAAATTTATGATTGGAATGTTCCATAATAAAGCATTAAACATAAGAAAACAAGGTTCATAGAGATAAGATGGATATGTCAGAAGTCCGATATTTTGTACTTTTCTCAACGTGTAAAGGCTCAGTACGGAACTTTTCTGAAATGGTCCACCACCTGCTTGCTCCACGGAGATTGAATTCACTAATTTATGTCTGGAATGTTCCGTAATACAGCATTAAACATAACAAGACAAGTTTCATAGAGAGAGATAAGTTGAAGTATTTAGGCCAAATTAAGTCAGATCTTTTGTACTTTTCTCAACACGTAAAGGTTCAGTACGGAACTTTTCTGAGATTGTCAGGCATCTGGTTGCTCCATGGAGATTAGATTCACTATTTTATGATTGGAATATTCCAGAATACAGCTTTATTAAAGGTTCATAGAGATAGATACTACGTTGATGTCTATATGCCAAGTTAAGTCAGAGCTTTTATTCTTTTCTCAAAGAATAAAGGTTTAGTACGGAACTTTTCTGAGATGGTCTGCCACCTGATTGCTCCATGGAGATTGGATTCATTATTTTATGATTGGAATGTTCCATAATAAAGCATTAAACATAAGATGTCACTACAAGGTTCAAAGAGAAGGATACAGTTTGTCGATGTCTTTAGGCCAAGTTAAGTCAGAGCTTTTATGCTTTTCTCAACACGTAAAGGCTCAGTACGGA